GAGAAGGAAGCCATACTGAGGAAGAGGAGAAGCTTTGACTCAGCTTTTGTGTCTGGTGGGAACATTTTCTCAAAATGTAGGTGCTATTTCCTGTAATCAAGGGCTTTCCAGAGCCTGATAATAATTTCCCAGCTGTATCATTTTGGTGAATTATTTTTTAGCCTTGGGTTATTTCATGACTGGTTTTACATATTAAGAATGGGAGAGGAGATCATATTCATCTTGATGATAGAAAACAGGGAATAGAACTCCCACAGCTCTCTCTCCCTTTCCCCGCACCTTGTGGAAAGTTTGGCTTTGTGCTAAACCGTGAAAAAAACCTTGACTGCAGTGTGTCAGGCATATTTCAGCTCGATTTGTGTCAACCCTAATAAGTCAGCTGACAAGGTAATAAATTGGGTGTCTGTTCAAGACCTGGCACCTGTACAGGAAATAAAAGGGGATTTCAGTTGCAGGAGGTTTGCTTTGTTTTGCAAATGGACCTTTTCTCAAGGTTCCTCTACCTCCTCCCCCCTTCTTCTCTTTTCTGAAATCATGTTATCGAAATGTTTATTTCAATTGTGACTGCAGCCAGTTTTTCATCTGGAAAAGAAAGCTCTATGAGTACCCTTGGAAATGGAAATCCTTATGCTTTCCACCCTGAAACAAAGGCTTACAGAGCATTTAATTATTCATGTATCCTGCTGTTACATAAATGGTCTGAATAATTTCAAATTACTGAAAAACTGCCTTTGTTCAACATTCTGAAACTTTACATTCATGTAGTTTGAATCAGGCTAGGAGAACAGAATTTATTTAACCCAGGGAAACTGTATTAGTAATATCTCACTATTTTTAATGATAATATAACCTTGTGACCAGGGTGTCTTAACATGTTTCCCTCTGTGTCTGACCTCCAAGGATGCAAGTCTGTTACAGCCCTTGAGAGCAGAGCTTTTGTAGGTCCAGCTGTAGGGTTGTGTTTTTAGCTCAGGGGCACCAGGTCAGTTCCCAGTGTGATGTGTGGTGGTGACTGCAGTAGTGGTGAGAGCTGAGGCAGTTACCTTGGGGCCTTCACTTTTGGTTCACAGATCTTCCTCCATGCTTGGAAGAGAGATAATACCTACTGTCTCTGACTCTTTTCCTTTTTGGTGACTGTCCTGGGCACCAGGGAAGAAGTTTCCTAAAACTGTGGCTTCAGGCTCTAAGGTTGATCTATGAGTTGGAGGAAGCAAAACAGGACCTTATATTCTTTGAAATAGGCAGCTGCCTTTTCTTTCAATTGAATTTCCTTCACCTTTTCCCTCCTTCATTATCCCATAGGGATCTACCATAAGTAGATCTTCATTTCCACATGGAGAGTTCATCTCCCAGAATTTCCTTCTTGGACTTTTTTAATTAGAGGAAGTGATAATTTTCTGAAGGGGAAAATGGTTTATTAAAAACAAATATTATCACTGCTGAGTAAAGTATTTATGAACTTTAGAAATGAGATTAGAACTCTCTCAAAGTCAAAACAGTTGCCTAAGTGCACTTTGCACATAGTAAGAATATTTAAAGCATAAGTGTTCAAAATCCAAGAAGAAAACTCTATTAAATATATATAATAAGACTTTCTATACAGTTTGTCTGTTTTAGGATTTGTTACTCCTTATACAGAGGATTGGACTAGATGAAAAAAGTCTTACCTATCAACTTCTCTCACATTTATGGTTATAACATTTAAATGAGGAAAAAGTTTTCTTAAGTTCTCTTCAGTGTTTTCAAGAAGTGAAAATGGAACTTGAGGGAGAAAAAAAGGAGGGAATATAAACCTTTAAAACTCCAAGTGAACTTTCAGAATTGTAATTGAATGCAAGTTCTGGACTTTCCTATCTATCACACTGTAAATTTTTTACAAAATAGTTAGCTAAGCAACTCTTCTTTCTCCAGCATTGTATAGTAATATGATGGATCACTCTAAATTAATTACAGTAATCAGCTAATGTTATGTGCTGTAGAGTTGTGATTCAAGCATGAAGGAAAGAATATACAGCAAATTACATATATAAAAAATGTGTTGCAGGGTTAGCTTAAGTTTTACACCTTGGCCTCAGACTGTGGGGGAAAAAAAAAAGGACTCGAGGGTGAAATACTGAAAGCTGATCAAAAATGGAGGAAATGTTTCAGGTCACATATCTTTGGATGTACTGCAAAGGCATTATATGTTAATAAAAGCAAAAGAATAAAGTAGAAAACAGTACCTAATAATAACTGGTACTCTATGTTGCAAGAGGTGTTTTAAATTTCCTGGTCATTGAAAGGATGTTAAGAAATGCCCATATCTTTGTGTTTGAATAATATCAGCTCCCTCCTGACCTGTTGTGAAATGGATTGAGAATTTATACTGAACTTTACAGATTCTTCATGAGATGAATTGCAAAAATCTGATTGGACACATATAATCTTCTTTAAAAATATTTATTTAAGCATTTATAGAACACAGCTCTTATGAAAATTAAACATGTTCCAGGTGTGTATGGTCCACTTTCTAGGCATAGCCAAGTTGTTTTTGAAGTGGTAGATACACCTGTCCATGCTAGTCAAGACAAATTCTTCATGGGTGAGCTGCTGAAATGAAATTTCATGGATTTTGTTGTGTCTTGTTTTTGTTCAAGAGAAAAACTGGTATGATTATAGTGAAGGTAAGAATGAGTTGCAGGTAAAATGTGCACCTTGCTGTGGAAAATATATTAGTTCTCTTCTTCCTGAGCAACAACAGCTTGTAATTCTTCAACTCTCAGGATAAAATAGTGGAAGTGATACTATTATGCTTACAGGCTAGTTTTGGGAGCTTGGGATTTTCAGCTGACTTTGTTCCTCATTAAGAGAGAAACTAGCAGCACAGAAGCTCAAGATGTTTCCTTCTAGACTTATTCAGAACACCGTTATGGGAAGAGGTGCTAATGCCAGAAGTATAAAAGCTCTGAATGGATGTCTCTGCAAAAACAGTGACTCCAAAATTCAGTTACAGCATGGGGGATGGATTGCAAGATGAAACAACCATGTTTGCTGAGGTTCCCTCTTATTTCAGTGCAGCTGCCCAAAAGGACAGGGCATGGCCAGACTGTTTTTAGGGATGTTTTCCAGATGTGTGAAACAAGGCTTTAGAGGTGAAGGAGTATAAGATATCCTGTTTTGGTTTTGCAGATTCAAATATTTTTGTGACTATGCTATAAGTTATAGCAAAAATAATCCAGCTGAAAAAGAGGGAAAAAAACCAAACCAAACCAAACCGAAAAAAGGCAGGGTTTTGGAAGAAATACTATTCAGAAGTGGTGCTGAGACAAGAATGAGCATACATGAACAGAAGTGTATGGAGAATCTTTTAGCTGATTTCAATGTAAGGTGAAGGTTCCAAATGAGACTAAAGTGAGAGAGATGTTTGTCTGTCTTTCAGCTGAGATTTTGCAAGGGTTTGACAACCGTGTTCAGTTTGTTACCACCTCTGTTCAAGTAGTGTCTTGCAGGTATGCCATTTGCAATGTCCATTGAAAGCTCCCTGAATCTGAATCCCTCAGTTTTCCTTCAACCATGAATATGATTTATAGATTTCTAAAATCTTGCACAATTTCTTACAAAAGGGGTGCTGATAATTCCAGCATCTCTTCCCCCAAAAATACCAGCAGCAAAACATCTGAGAGCTAAGTTATTTTGTTCGTGTGTGTAGAGGATGGTGCTAATTGTAATCTTAATTCTCACCCTTAAACCCTAAACTGAGGTGTATTTAATCCGTTGGTATATAAGAAAGGATATGTGTGACTTTCCTACAATTAGGGTCTTTTTCGATACTTTTTTTCCACTCACTGTTTTTGAGAGGCTGATGCAGTTCAGTTCACCACAGTACTACTACATTTTCAGCAACACAGCAAAGGACAGTAGCAGGAGAAGGTGTGAGGAAGCTGCTGCAAATCCTGCTGTGGAATAATTTCTTCTACAAAAAATGCCACTTTAAATATATATCCATCTGTAGCTGAGGCACCATTTCACAGCTACATAAGCTGACTGCCACCTGGGCCATCCCAGTGCCTCTCACCTCTCACATGCTGGGTTTAATGCTTCCTGATCTGTCTAAAAACTCACCCAGCAAAATCAAAGCAATTTGTTTGGAGATGGCTCAGCCTCCAAGTGGGTGAAATGACATGGGAGGTGATGGGGCACCAAGGGAAAGATGTGACTGTGGGAACCCATATTTGTATTAACCTGAATAGCTGTGGATAGTTACCACTGGACCTGGCCTGCACATCCCAGAGTTACTTCTCCTTCTGGTCTCAGTGCTGACCTATGTCAGGTCACGGGTAGCTACTCAGTTCCCGAAGTCTAGGAGCTCAGCAGCAATAAAAGCAGCTGTCTGGTGGCTTTTCTGACTTTGCAAATTCATGATTTCTTCTGTCCCTTTCTGGCAATCTTGTAATTTTTCTCTACCAATTGCCCTTCCCCTTCTTTTCAAAGGCACTGGGCTTTGTCTCATCCAGGTGCATTTATCCTCTTTTAAGGTGAAGTGATATGCTGAGCAGATCAAGTATCTCACAGCTCCCAAAAAGTCCTGTCCCCATTCTTATAATGGAAGTAGTCAAGGTATTTTAATGTCATACATTAGTATTTGACCATAATTGCTGCTACACTTCAGTCCCTTCTGACTTGTGAGTTAGCAAGGAAGAGTTTCTTCCAGATTTGGGAAAACAAGAACACCGTGGCGCTTGCAGAGCACAGGAGTGAGTGTTTCAGCCTTTGAGCATGTCTAATGCCACAACATGGGTGGTGAGTGAGTGAGAGCTGGTTTTAGAAACCTTGTAGATATTGAGCAAAGCTTCTACTGAAGGTAACGGTAGCATTACTTGACAGAGGTTGCAAAACTCGGAGACTGTTTTTATGTTTTACAAAAAGAATCCCAGCTGATAAATATCAAATATATAGTAAAAATATTCTGAAATTAAAGTTGACAAAATTATTGATAAAAGCTTTTTGGATCTCTATTTCAGTGTTTTATTCAGAAGTGTTGACTTAATTAGTTACATCTATGTATGGAATAACTACAGACTCTTTGAACTGCCCTGGGACTCACCATGGACGTGGTATTTGACACTTCTGGGAGTGGACTTTGCATACTACTGCTTTCATCGCATTAGCCATGGTAAGACTTAACAAGCTGTTAATGTTTTAAAATAGATTAATTATTTATTAATGAAATGAGGTATTTATTTTTGTTTCTATACCTAGACTACTCTGAGCATATGTAGCTGCTTTTCTTCCCAAGGGTTAGCCAAGGCACACTTTTATCTTGAGCATGGTAAGCAGTTTCTACATAATAGTCTGTATAATAAACATGATTTTTCAATAGGAAGAAGTATCGTTTTCAAAGCAGTACCACAGAAAAAGTGAAGTGTCATAAAAGAAAAATAGTAATAAGTACATAAAGATTTAGGGTCAGTATCCCTATATCCCTGGAAAGGAAAAGTACAGCAAAGTACAGATAAGTATTTCAAAACAGTCTGGTGGATGTACAAAATAGAGAGCAGTAAAAAGCAAGGTGACAAAAAATAATGGAACCTGTGTAAATCATGGCAGTCATTTCTGTACGTATATATTGTGAAGACGTAATAGAATCGATGTCTGTCTTGTTACATATTTCTATTCCATAGCAACAGCGTATTTTTTCTCTAACCTTTTATACCCTATCTGAAAATGCAATAATACTTTCTATCAATCCTAATTTTGGCCCTGATCTAAAGTCTGTAACAATGAAATAGGAATCTTGTTGTTTAAGAGACTTTGGACTGGGCTTCTCAAGGCAGAGGTAATGATAGTTTATGTAATGTGCTTTCAGAGAGGGAGAATGTTTTGATACCAATAGGTCAGCGGAATATATGGAAGTAGGTAAGAAAGGAGCCTGAGCTGCTGTGAGGAGTGAGAGGGAGGAAGGGTCCCTCCCAGGTGGGGATGGCAGACGGGTGTGAGAACAATGCAGGGTGGGTGTAGGGGGACAACAATGGTGGGGGGACGGGGTGGGAGGCGAGGAAGCAGGGGGAGCTGGAACAATGTATCGGGGAGGGGGGGCACTGCGGCTGGGAGCTGGGAGCCCTGTGTGGGTGTACGAGAGACTGGGAATACGCTTCGCAAACAATGACATTAACAGTGCTGGCAGGGCGACAGCCTCAGTCTGAGAACTGCACCAGAGCGGGAGGCTATTCCTGCAGTTTAAAATAAAAATGATTGCCTTCAAGTGTTAGAAAATCGCTAGCCTTGCTGTGCTTTTGCTGGAGTCAGTGGTAAAATTCCCACTGGCAGAGAAGGGAGAGGGCTCATCTCTGTGCTCTCTGAAGCAATTGGATGTATTTCTGTTCCTGCAGTACCTTGCGTTTAGTCTTCTCTGTTTTCCTATGTTTTGAGTGGGTTGCACACTTGAAATGAATCGCAATAGGTGTTTTAGAATTAAAATACAAACCAGTTCTGTATGTAATGGAGTTGAGGAAACTGTGAGAAAATGCTGCTCTTTTAAGAAGGTCGGTGCTGAGCTATTCTATAAATGTTAATTTACTTTTCTTCAGGTTACAGAAGTATTGTTTGCTGATAGAGCTGTGCTACTCAGCAGGGAACTGATACAACATTGTAGAATATCACTCTAAAAGGAGATTTTAGTTTAACCAACACTCTTTTCTCTGGTCAAACAATGATGAAATTTGTAGCATGGCAGCACAGCTGCAAAAGTCAGCTGCATTGGATGTTGCTGAGGAAATTTAAGTGTAGGAGATGGTTTAAAAAAGTAGAACAAAAACTTCTGAAAAATACCTTTGCATGTTGAGAAGCCACGACACTGGAAAAGTCTCTGGTACAAGCAAACTGAACACATCCTTGCACTAGAAAGTGACAGGGCCTGGTGATTCAAGCTTGGATCCTAGAGCGAAGTTAAAAATTAATAGCACATGTATATCCCAGGAAATTCAAGCTGTGTGGGCTTGTGCGTGGGGATGTAAATAATAGCACTAATTGTTTCAAACTGGAAAACTAAAATTCAGATACATGCAATTGTTTCTTAATACTTGATATAATTTTGATACAAAGAATATCATTATTATGTAGCTTTTCCTGGCTCCAAGCAATAAATTGATAACAACCCCTTGGCCTTTTTACTATGTTATTTCATGTTTTCCATGCAGTGATTGGATTTTGCATTCTACTATTTTGCAAATAGTCTGAATCATTATAGATATTAAAGTTTCTTCTGTAGCAGAAACTGTATGCAGTATCAAAATTTTACCTAGCACTTGGGGAGCTATTTTTTTCCTCTTCACTATATGTATGTAATAGCTATTATCATAAACTGAAGTTATACAGCAACAAAAGGAAGTATTTTTAGGTGCGATCTCATTTTGCAAAGGATAGAGTTATTCTAAGTATGTGCTTGTATTTTCCATTGTTTGCAGTAGCCACTAAAAGGTTAGAAACTAAAATGTTTCATCACTTATTCCAGCATTCTTCTGGGTCTGATCCAAAAGCCATGGCAGTCAACGGAACTACTTAGCCACTGTTCTTTCTCATGGCATTTTAATGAATTTATAAATCAATGTGACTTTTCTCTTTGTTTCAGTAAAAACATCCATTATGGTTGTACTACTAGGAAAACTAAGCTGTAAAATCACAGGTTTTATTTAAAATATTTTTTTTCAGGGAAGGATATGTGTGGGTTTGAGGGATTTTTACCAGATAGTTTAATCCAGTATATATGGATTACTCTTCAAGTTTCCTCTCCAGGTGCAGAGTCCTTGCAGAGTTACTCCTGCTAGTACAGGGGATTCAGTGGTCCCAGAGCAGTGCCGAGCCCCAGCCGTGGTGCAGCACACCCCTCCCCACGCCCTGGCCTCACAGATACTCCTGTTGCAGACAAATGACAACGGCAGTAAGGAATTTGGAGGCTCTGTAAACTAATTTCTTCAGCAGCCACACCTTTTTAATCAGGGGAGGAAATCTAGAGAATTCCATATCCATGGCAAAAACAAGGGACACGCGCTGGTGTGGAGCCCAGGTCCTGGCTGCGGGGCAGCAGAGTGCCTGGTGGTTGGCTCTAGCATGAAGGGCTCTGCCAGCCCCAGGAGCACCCCGAGCCTGAACAGGTTCCTCAGCAGTGGCTGTGCACTCAATCCTGTGCCCCAGCTGGTACTATGGGGAGCTGGGAACCTCTGGTCCTCCATAAGGGAGAAGGTTTTAATCTATGCTTCCCAGGGTATCACGTCCTGCAGAGCTGAGCGGGTTTCTGTCAGCCAGGGGTCCCTCCTCTCCTCTTTCAAGGCCCTGGAAGAAGCTGTCCAAGTCTGGCAGCCAGTGGATTTAGAGAGAGAGCCTGTCCCTTATAAGAGCAGCTTCCAACACCTCTTCTTTTGTTCTCTTTTACTGCTGGGGAATTTCCATTGCTTCAGTGGCCCTCCCCTCAGACAACCTGGGAGAAGCAAGTTTCCTTCAGCAGAGCCAATCTCCGCAGCAGCTGCATTGTTCTGCCCGGTCCCGGTGGCCGGTGTCAGCTGTTCGCCCCATTGTCCAGTGGTGGCTTCCAGACGCCCTGCGGGATACGTGACATGGTCCCTGTCAGCAAAAGGCTGAGCCAATATGAGCTGGTGGTTTGAGTTACAGCAGAGGTCATAAAATAGACCTCAACTGATGAGTATATCTTCAGCAGATTCCCTGGCTGCTACATAAAGTTTTGAGTTAATGGTGCGTCTCTTAATAATTCTGAGTTTATTTATGGGATATGGGAAAAGAGCCTTTTGCACCAGGTGTATTCTAGAGCAATAGACTCTCCAAGCTTCTCAGATTATCCCACCCCACAGGGCTGACCTTTTGGTCAAGGCCAGCTTCTCAAGGGTCAGAGGACAAAGAAAGAAACCGTGAAAACTCACTTCAGCCTTGTCCTTCAAAAGACCATGCCTCAGACTGTGGCAAAATGTCTCAACTGAGGATGCTGAGGATTTTTTCTTTCCAAGACTTCCAATAATTGGAAATTTTGTGAACTTTTCATCCCTGGTTTTATAGAATGTTTTTAAAAAGGGGATTTCTCTTAACCGTGACTTACATTGCTTCTGCCTCTTCTCCCAGTGAGCATCTTTTGTTACAGTTTCTTCAGCAGCAGAGCTGACTTCAGACGTTTCTGGCTGCTCTTTCCTCCACCATGCTGCAGTTCACAACCCACTCAGTCCTGGAAAGAATGTCATGCATGGAGACTGTGCATAAGATCACTGAAATAGTCCATGTTAAAAAACAAGGTTGTGTTGCGTTTCTTTCTTAACAGTTCAATTCAGTTCAGTAGTCATAGGGGTAAACTTAGCCACAAGGCAGGATGAGGTAGGACATGTTAGACTTGCTAGCACAGAATCTATGGGATAAGTGAAGACCTGAGAGAGAGCAAACAGAATTTTCTGAGTCAGTAGTGCACAGGCAGGTAACCCATTGCTTTATAAGGAATCAGAGTGGATAGACTGGGACAGGTAGTGTATCAAGATTCATGCCATTAAAATGGTGGAATATGCAATGATAAAACCTTGTCCTAATCTTTCTCATCATTATTTATGCAGTCTGTAATAATGGTCCTTAATGTGTTATCACTTTGGACACCAGTGCAAGGCTATGTTCATTGTTAAATGGGGAGATGAGTTTAAGCTTGTTAGAGGAAAAGGCAGAATGGCTCAGTGTCTTCACTATCTAGATTTGCTGATCATTTTTGAAGGGTGTATTGAAATCATATGATTGTAATGTCTTTTATTTACCTGACCCATTCCTGCCTTTGAAGTGCTCCTTTCATCTGCATTTTATAATGTACTTGTCTGAACTCAGTATATTAGAATGGACTTGTTAAGTACGTTTTATATTAACAGTTGATAGTATATTGAAATAATTTTGGGTTTAAAGAGTTTCAGATTTGTGGGAAATTCATTATAATAAAATGATGCCTGACTTTTGTTATTGGGAACATGGTCAGAGATACAAGCTTTTATTTTCAGGAAAATCTGTATTCCCCTAGAAATACAGTAAATTGCAATGTTCTTTTACATGCCAAAGAAGGCAGGGGGAGAGGGTTGGGTGATGGTGATTTTTTTTAGGCTTGCTCTTACATGTGGGAAAATGCCATTATTTACCTAACTAGAA